CAACACAATTTTCTTTTTTCAAACTGAGGAACTACAGAAATTGCCCTGTTAGCAAAAAAAAGTTGTTTTTTAAATCTCCAGATGTCTGCCCATCCAAATGCTATATCAGAGCTCCACCTTTCCTGAAGTTCTGGTTCTACTCACCATCCTTTTTCCTACTACTCTTGCTCTTCAGAGCTCTCAGCAAGTTTGGTGGTGCTCACCTTTAATCCCAGCACTCAGGAGGCAGAGACACATGAATCTCTGAGTATGAGGCCAGCCTGATCTACATAGCAAGTTCCAGGACAGAAACACACACACACACACACACACACACACACACACACACACACACACACACACACACAAAAACAGAGAGAGAGAGAGAGCGAAATATTATTTCTTTCAGGTTGTTAAAGTGTCTCTTCCCATGCACAGGCATATCTTCTATCATGAAAAATTCATATAACTCTATTGAGCCTTTATATTACCACCTCCAATTTCAGTAACCCCATGTATACCTGACATCTCATGGAGATCCACAAGTCCACTGAGGCAAGTGCTTGTAGTAGATTACTTGTTGATAACATTCTACACTTGTGTGCTTTTTTAGCTTAGGCAGGTTTCTGGCTAGCTCTTTTAACTTGCATTAACCTGTTTCTCTTTACCTTTTGCCTCAGGGCTAATTACCTTTCTTACTTCTGTATATATTACTTTCACTGCTTCTCTGTGTCTGTCTGTCTGTCTGTCTGTCTGTCTGTCTGTCTGTCTGTCTGTCTGGTCTTCTTGCCCCTGGTGTCTCCCTTGTTCTCCTCCTCATTTCATTCCTCCTCATTCTTCTTTTTTGAGCCTAGATTTCTCCTCCTATGTATTCTCTCTGCCTGTTAGTCCGACCTATTGGCTGTTCAGCTCTTTATTAGACCAATCAAGTATCTTAGGCAGGCAAGGTGAAACAAATGCAGCACCTCTTAACATAATTAAACAAATGGAGCATAAACAAAAGTAACACACCTTTACACAGTTAAGGTAATATTCTACAGCATAAACAAATGTAACACTTCTTTATATAGTTAAAATAATATTCTACAACAGTGAGCATGTTTCACACTTGTCAGTTGATAGACATGTATGACAATATGTGTGATCACTTGGCCAGATGTCTGTTTATAGAATATGGAGATAACAGCTACATTTCACTCTAGATCTAGGGTACAAATGAAAATGGATGTGTAACTGTATATTAAAACAAAATTCCTTAATTAAAGGAATAACATTTTAATAAAAGGATAAGTTTCTGGGCTAACAAGATGGCTCAGCAGGTAAAGGGAATTGCTGCCAAATCTGAGTTTGATTCCTAAAAGCCACAGGTGGAAGGAGGTAACTGACTTTTGAAAATTGTTCTTTATGTCCATACTTAAAATACACACAAGTACACTTATTTGCATACGTGTACACACACAATAAATAATGCAAACCACTTAAAAAAAAAAAGAGTAAGTTCCTGTTCTCCTAACACTCCTCATCCAGAGAGCAAGTTGGTTGAGGACAATTACATGTATGTTTGGTTAGTCTCATGGTAGATCCATATATGATGAAAGATCACAAAAGAGGGTAGCTGTAATATTGAAATGGGTTCCCTAACTAGAACTAATAAATAAATTTAAAAAAATGTCTGGAGGAAGGCATTCCTAGTTTGAGTCATAAAGAGTAAGGACAAGGCAGGCAGATGGAAAAAAGGAAAGCTATTCTGAGTTGAAGAGTGGCAGGGGATACAAGGACATACTGTACATTTAAAAAGCTGCAGATCGTGAGGGTCATAGGTTATGCTGCTGCCCAGTGATCAGCAGTTCTAGAAACAGCTTGGTCTGAAACCTACTGTGTCCATTTACTAATTTGTTAAAACTAATTAAGAGTTTTATCTTGAGAAAAGTGTAGGCTCAGCATGAGAATAAAAGTGCTCATTTCACAGTTGCTGCAGTGTCCCTGTGAAATAACATTCATAAATCTGGTATGTAGTAAATTGTTAATGTTAGCAACTGTTTTTATTGGTGTCCTGGCTGTTTTTAGAATTTGATTTTCTCTGTCAGTAGTCTGTAATGAAGTGTTCTAGGTTGACTGTTTAGTTTGTGGAGCTTCAGACAGCAGTCCTCTTATGTTATAATGGAGTCATAAAGACAGGGTTTTAGTCTGCTTATTTAAAAACTGAACCTGAGTTAAAGAGACCAGCTGTGATGACACTGACTGTACAGTGCAGCCTGACGTAAGTATCTTTCCATCCCAGAGTTCTCTTGATTAGTGTTGGAACTAGTTGTAAAAATTACTGAAACATCAACCGATAACACTTGCCACAGTTTTGGGCAAAAATACTTTGTTAGCAATTCCAAACTGAATGAATTTCTAACTACATTTTTAAAAATGTTGTGTCCTTCCCTGCTGCCCTCTGGTGTAGGTGCAGCTCAGCTGTGCAACATGAAGAAGCTCAGTTACAGGTGGGCAGAAGGGACGGGGTAGCCTCAGATAGTTCTTTGATACTAAGGATTTCTTAGGCAAACAAGTTAATTTCCTCATTGCAATGTGAATAGATTTTATAGTACTTAGCCTTTAAGTCTGATCTATTTCATTTATTATGTAGCACCCAACAAATAATTTGTGCGTGAATGCCTAGCATAGAATGGTCAGCAAGGAACTTACATATCCTTTAGTGGAATAAGGAGATACTAAAAGAATTCCCTTTCTTATATATAACTGTAATTAGTTAAATTCCAGAATGATTTATGAAGAGTTGGAGTTTTAGCTAAGAAAGGAAGGTTCAATAAAATACAGGAGATGGTAGGATAAATGGATAACAATGCATTGCTCTAAGGACTGAAAGATAGGCAGAGGTCTTTGGAGCAGAGGAAGCTCCTGGTCATGAGAAGAAAAGAAAAGGTATTTGCAAGGCGTCTTCAAGGATCTCAGATAGCAAGGGAAGAGTGAGTTTTCTTCCTCTAGTAATTCTGTCTTGTGTTAGGATTGTGTTGTTTTAAAGATATATTTCAAAAGAAACTAATTTTACAAAGTTATTTTAAAACTACCACAACTGTCTACTCAGGACTGGGCAGTTTTGTACTGTTTTTATTTGATTTTCTTCTTTGAATCTGGTCTCCTTGAAAATTGGGGCAGTATTTGATGTGCTGGATTGCTTAGATCGGGTCTTTTACTATTGAAAACCCAAAAGCCAGAGACAGTCTTCTCCTGTTTTCCTTGCTGAGAGTTTGTGTGGGTGTGTGCAGTGCAGCTGTGCTGTGGGTTTCTTGGCAGTCAGATGGGGGCAGTTCTCCATGTAGTCATCTCAGAAGGAAGAACCCTTCGTGTAAAAACCTACTTTGACTGGATTAGATTCAGCGGGAGGCATCCAGTCCTGAGCTCCTGGCTGGTAGCCTCGTTTGTTTGGCTTCATGGATCCAGCAGCCTCAGGCCCATATTCAGACATTGTGACAGAGCTCTATCAAAAAGAGAACACGAGAAACAGCTTTGTCTCAGTATAAAATTGCCACTTGGCACATACAATTTTAAAATAAAGTTTTTATTAGTAATTGTGATTTGTTCAAGTTTCTTTCTATAAAGATCACATATTGAAAAAGGCAGACTGTAAAAACATGGCATGCAAATGTGAATTCAGAATTTTCTATATTTATGAGAATGCTCTTTTCCTAGATCTTGCGTGCACAGATGGATTCACAGTACTGTGTTCAGTGCTTCCTTGTTGCCTTCAGCCCCATTTGCCCTCTTGTGTGGTCTGTAAACACTCCGGTTTCCTCAAATCCTCAGTATGCAACACTCCATTTTTCAAGCACACTCACAGCCTTCTCTTGAATAAACTCATTGTAGCCCATTACACACTGCAGGCAGACAAACGCCTCTGGCTTGATTCTCATTGCTTTCTTTATATCTCTGCTCTTAGTTGTTACTTTCAAAGTGGTGCAGAGTAAGATTCTGTGGTCAAATCTAGTCTTTCCTAGTGTGGTCTCTTCCGACTTTCTGCCTGTTTCTCAAATAACAACAACAACACACTCACACACACAAAAACAGAACAAATCAGAACAAAACAAAAACCAAAAACCCAGCAGGATTATTTATCTATTCAGGAAGACTTTAATGTTAGTGTTCCTCTCTGGTTGGGATATTTTTTATCTCAGATCTTCAGACTTCTGTGGGTTTTTATTTTAGGTATTAGTTGATATAGTCACCTCAGAGGGCCTCTCCCCTAGTCCTGCCCCCCCCAGTGTGTGTGTGTGTGTGTGTGTGTGTGTGTGTGTGTGACAGAGAGAATCTCAGATCTTCAGACTTCTGTGGGTTTTTATTGTAGATATTAGTTGATATAGTCACCTCAGAGGGCCTCTCCCCTAGATCTGCCCCCCCCCAGTGTGTGTGTGTGTGTGTGTGTGTGTGTGTGTGTGTGGACAGAGAGAGAGAGAGAGAGAAAGAGAGAGAGAGAGAGAGAGAGAGAGAGATTTCCCCCTTTCCCATTTTCCTTACTGAAAAAGATGATTTACATTTTTCCTTCCCCCTTCCCTTTATTTCTAAGTTGCTTCACTTGAATACTTGTTCAAGGCCTTTAGCATTCACAGGGACAAACATTTCCCTCATCTTGTTCACTACCATATGTTGCCATGCTTAGGCTGGACCTGGTTCTGATGGGGTAGGTGATGTGTCAATCAAATCTGTATCTGGTAAGTTATCTGCACCCAGGGAAATAGATTATTGATGCTTATTTTAGAATTAGTTTGACTGCTATTTGTCTTTATTGTTTTTATGTGTGGTTTTTTTTTTTTTTTGATTCTATGTCTTTAGGAAAGCAGGTGTGGGTTTCATTATTTTCAGTTTACCATAGAGTGCTAGATACTATTTTAGTACTGTTTATTGAATATAATTGAAAATTTAATCTCCCATCCTTGCTTCCTCTAAAGTTATATAGCTGTGTGCAGATTTTAATTTTGAAAATGGTGCACTTTAAGATATACCTTCTTTTTGTTTTGCAGTTCATAATTGGACACTTGAGGATACCTTGCAGTGGTTGATAGAATTTGTTGAACTCCCACAATATGAGAAGAATTTTAGGGATAATAATGTAAAGGGAACAACACTTCCCAGGTCAGTAGTTATTCCGGGGTTTGGGGGGGGGTTTACATTCATTGAGAAGTATATTTTAGATAATACCACTTTTCAATTCTGAACCTACAGGGTAATTCTGGGGCTGAAGGTATAAAGGATACACTATAACTGTATCTGTTTTAAATACTTTATTATCTTATTTTATTATAGTTGGATTCTTTGTGCATGCGTATATAGTATGTATGTGTGTTTGTGGCATGAGAGTGAGTACGTGTAGATGGCAGAGCATGTGTGTGGAAGTTAGAGGACAATCTCAGATGGTGACCTGTACCTTCCACCTTGCTTGAGACAGGGCCTCTTTGTTATTTGTGTTTGCACATACCCAGTTAGCTGGTCCCCAAGCTTCTGAGTATTCTATTGTGTTTACCTCCTAACTTACCCAAGAACTTCATGTTACATGAATTCCTCCACCCCTCAAACCTGCCCAAGACTTCTTACCTTCCTTTTGGGTTTTCAGCATGCTTTGTTCATTTTAAACATTAAACACTAAGAATGTAATGAGAGCTTTTTCAGCTACTGCTAACTAAAAGCTTCTAAAGTAAGAACTGTTTTAAAATCTGCTAAAGATGATTAGTAAGTCCCTTAACTATTTTATTTTTCTTTGTGAAAATGCTGACATTAGTTAATTATTATAAAATACTTTCAGTTTTTTAAATTTTTCAATTATAGTAAGTTATAATAGAAAGTAAGTAACTTTAGAAAACAACAGCTCAACAATATAGAAACAAGTTATTAGCCTAAGGAAGGCTTTCAGTAGCTAAGTTTTATGAAAGAGTTTCTAAAGTGGTGTGCTTTAATACAGATGAGCTCTCAATAGTGATCACCAGTATGTGAAGTAATAAATTTGTTGTTCATATTTATATATGAACATGTATATAAATATTCATATTTACATATGAAATGTATATATTAGAAATACTTTGTTTACTACATGTAAACTTTTTTTTCTATGTACAGGATAGCAGTTCATGAAACTTCATTTATGATTTCCCAGTTGAAAATCAGCGACCGGAGTCACAGACAGAAACTTCAACTCAAAGCACTAGATGTGGTTTTGTTTGGTCCTCTGACACGTTAGTATCTCTTTCATTCAGTGTGAATCAGTAGCATAGTCTACCCAACCCTGTGTTGTTGAGGAAAACCGAATGGAGAGGCGCAGACCACTTGCTAACTCTTAAGGAAGTACGGCTTATAGGATGAGCTTCTCTGCCATAAAAACATGAATTTCCAAAACTACTTACTAATGTAAAAAGCTGCAAAACCGACTAGCTGGTAATTCAGAATTTTAGATTTAAAAAGTTGTTTTGTTGTGACTGTTGGTGTTAATTTGGCTGGATGTTCATGCTGAAGAACATGGCAGTTTAACTGTTCCTGATGGCACTGGTAGTAAGCCCTAACAGTGTCCCTAACCACCAGGAAAAGAACTTTGAAGACATAGATCAGAGACAAAGATGCTCTCGAAGCTTTAGAAGGAACATAATTATAGTAGGAACACCAAGTAGACACTGTTATTTGATTGGTTTGGAAAGGAATGTGTCAGAAACAGTTACTTCATATTTTTATTTAAATGTTTTTAACCTGGGCGGGAATATTTTTCCCCCATAAGAGAAGTTTAATATGTTTATTTAATATAAAATTTCCAAAAGCTTTTGGAGGAAGTTTTTGAACAGTATATATTTTAGAATACTGTGTTTTAGTGTTTCAAAATCCTAAAAGGAATATCAAAATTATACAGGGACTCTGGCTTTTACAGAATACAGATTAGGAAGTGCACCTGCGATACTGATTGAGGTGGGCTCTTCTATTGAAGGCTGAAAGCAATGGCTCAGCAATCACCTGACTTTGATTATGATTCTGTTTTGGCTAGAGCTAAGTAAGCAGATGGTGAAACAGCCAGAATTCCTCTTTGTGAGCTGGTGGGCATTACAATAGAGGAAGTAGAGCCCTGCTGAAAATGCCCAGGACCTCTGAACTTTGCTCCTTGCCCTAAGTCCTTGACTGAATACACTATGTGATTGTTTTGTGTGAAAAAAAATTTTTCCCCCAGAAGCCAATTAGTGAAACAGGGATTAAAGGTAGAGAATTTTGTCTACATGCCATTTAGTTGGAAATGTTTCCTGTATTTATCTGGGAACAAGGTGCTTCATAATCCAGAGAATGTAGCATTATGAAATTGTTTTCAAATAGTATTGTTAAACATACATTTTAATAAGCAGACCAGCTAAGAAAGTAATGGTATATTACATTTTAAATATGTTTGTCTTAGAATTATCATTTGACTGAACAAGTACCATAGTAATGCCCAAACTAGATTTCATAACAAACTAATGTTATCAAATAAAAAGATATATTTTAAAAGAGTTTTCACTTAACTACTCTCTAGTGTGTAATGCTTTAGAATTTGGGACTGGTCAATCTGCATATTGTTATTTCTGGAGATTCTATTTCAGGCAGAGAATAGGGCTCATGGTCTAAAGGAATCCTGAGTTGAACCTCTCAGTTGTTGGAAGCAGAAATCTAAGCAGTCCCCTTTGAGACTATAGCTGCCTGCAGTGCATGTCTTGCATGGCAGGTGAGGGTGTGTGCTCTGGAAATATGGAACACTGAGACAAACACAGATACATAGAGACAAACATGGATACATAGAGACAAACACAGATGTACCCTGGACTTAGTAGCAACTTGAGATTTCTATGGAATTCATCCACAGGAAGCATGGAGAATGTCTTGTGGCAGGAGCACTAAGTGTTAGGCAGTGTCTTAGTTAGGGTTACTGTTGCTGTGATGAAATACCATGACCAAAGCAACTTTGGGAGGAAAGGATTTATTCAGCTTGGACTTCCATATCACTGTTCATCACTGAAGGAAGTCGGGACAGGGACTGAAACAGGACAGGAGCCTGGAGCTGCTTACTGGCTTGCTCTTTATGGCTTTCTCATCCTGCTTTCTTATAGAACTTAGGTCCACCAGCCCAGGGTGACCCTACCCACAATAGACTGGGTGCTCCCACATCAATCAATAATTAAGAACATGCTCTACAGACTTGCATATAGCCCAATCTTGTGGAGGCATTTTCTCAATTGAGGTTCCCTCCTGTCAGATGACTTAAGCTTAAGCTTGTGTCAGGTTGACACAAAACTAGCTAGGACAGGAAATTTAGCACTATAAATTACATTTACTTGGAGTATTAAAACACTGCATTATTTTTATTAGAAATCATATATCTCTCTCCTAATTAGTCTCTGAAAATTGTATATTGACAGTCAGGGCAAGGCTAAAATGATACTTGAGTAGAGGGTTTTCTATGTTTTATATTCTGAAGACAGTAGTCCTGGTGCCTTTTACCTCATATTGCAGTGCTGGGTTGATATCATACCTTGGTAGGCTAGGGAAGAATGATCCTGCACTTTACCTCTTCCTAATCCCTGTATCTCAAACAAATGGCCACTTGACCCACATTACTAGCTACTAGCTATGTATACCCAGGACTTCTCAGCTGTGTACATGGAGGAGTAGTGGATAATCTTTGTTACTAGCAGAGGGTATGGGGGAGAGGCTTTCCTATTGGTTGTAGGGTGCTCAGGTATTCCTGGCCTCTACTCTTGAGGTACACCTTGTACAAGGTACAGTTAATCCCACACTTCCCTGTGGGTTAACAAAATATTGTCATGTCTCCTGGGAGAGGGGTATTATATCCCCCAACACGATGAACCACTGATGAGCATAATTTATTTTATAACTACATTCTTGGGGAAATGCCTTTTTGTGAATGATTGTTTATCCAGTTTGTGTCTCAGTGATAGTGACCTGGCCTGACTAAAGGAAATGGAAGCAAGTCACAGGCCTTACTACTCTTCGGGGGCTTCTCCCAGTAGCATGGCATTGGAAATGGGGCTGATGTGGCCATGTATGTTTTTCTTTGCCTTTCTGTGGCCATGTACATTTTTCTCTGTGTTTCTGCAGGTCCCATATACTAGTTAGCGTACTGATGGTTGGAAAATAAGCATACTGATTGTTGGAAAAAGTTTTGATTTTATAAGGCCAGAATCTTTATTTGGGGGAAGGAGATGTTTACTTTTCTTTGCTCTGTATGTCTTCCCTTTTGTATATTACATTATGTTACACTCAAATTAATTGAACTGTCTGCATTTTTTCCCTTGTAGGCCCACCTCATAACTGGATGAAGGATTTTATTCTCACAGTTTCCATTGTAATTGGTGTTGGGGGGTGTTGGTTTGCTTATACACAAAATAAGACATCAAAGGAACATGTTGCAAAAATGATGAAGGACCTAGAGAGTCTACAAACTGCAGAGCAAAGTCTCATGGACTTACAAGAGAGGTAACTAAAGCATCTCGCTCACCTTGGGCATGGTTGCTCATGCTGGGGAGTCTAGCACTTACGAGGTAGAACTAGGATGATGACATCGGGGTCATCTTTGACTGTATAGCTAGTGACTTTAAGGTCAGATTGTGCTAGAAAAGAACTTGTCTCAAAAAGCCAAAATAAGACAAAATTAATTACTAAAACTAGTCTTAATTCTTGTTATTCGCATAAGCAAATATGTTGTGTGAAAATGTTACCTGAGTGTATATGTAAACACTTTCTTTAGGTTAGTGTTCGCATTAGGTATAAATGCTCATTTCATTTTGTATTTTCAGAGGTTTAAAACTTGGGAATAAATGTGTAGAAGATCAGAGGAAGCAAATCAGATAATATATATATAGAATGGAGTTGAGTTTTACTTTCAGATATATTTAAATATTTGTAAGTTTCTGGATCTTTATAGGGACTGTTTTCTGCAATCTTTGTCTTTTGAGCCCAAAATATCAGAAAATAGCCAAATATTAGGTTGCCTGATATTTACCTTAATTTAAGATGAATAGAAATACTATTACAATTTTCATTTTTAGAAGTATATATTGTTTGAAACAATTTTTTTTCACAAAAGAGAAAATTTTGGGTGCTTATGTGAGGAATTTTTAAACAAGTTTTTGTTCTCTAAGACTTGAAAAGGCACAGGAAGAAAACAGAACTGTTGCTGTAGAAAAGCAAAATCTAGAGCGAAAAATGATGGATGAAATCAACTATGCCAAGGAGGAGGCCTGTCGGCTGAGAGAGCTGAGGGAAGGCGCAGAGTGCGAGCTGAGCCGACGCCAATATGCAGAGCAGGAGCTGGAGCAGGTACCATTCCTAAGGCAGTGTTCCTGTTGCTACTCAGAGGAGCAGAGCCAGTACTTCCCTTTTCTTCTCTTTTGTTCCATCTTCTGTATCTATTTTCATTGTATACTGATCCTCAGCTAATAAAAATTTCTTTCAGCATTGATAAATTCATATTTTAAAAATAATGACATAGTAATGAAAGGTTGAGTTGCCAGCCTGTTTCTTCCATGCAACATTATGTCATGCTAGGTTTGTTGCCTAGAGTTCACTTGAGGTGTTTATTTAGTGTCTGTAGTTAAGTTTGAGTTTCGAATGCCACCTAGTAAGAGAAAGGACATTTAGTTTTGGGCTTCTGTAAAGCCAAAGGCTGCAGATGTTAAGGATTTCTGTTAGTCATTCATTTGAAACGTGTTAGGTGGCTTTAGAACACAGTCTGCTAAATCTTCCAAGTTATCTATAAAGTGTCCTTCCCGATGTCTGCTTCCTCCACTCAGCTACTCAGAATAGGATGGAGTAGGCTTTCAGACACTTCACAGTGCTCTGGAGAAGAGGATTGTAGAAAAATCTCCTGGCATGCATGTCTATCAATTTCCTGTTCCTGCAGTGTGGTTGTTTGAATGTAATTGGCCCCCATAAGCTCCTAGTGTCACTGTTAGTAGGCGTGGCTTTATTGGAGCAAGTGTAATACTGTGGGGATGGACTTTGAGGTCTATTGTGTTCAAGCTACACCCAATGAGACAGTTCATTCCCTGTTACCTATGGATCAAGATGTAGAATTCTCATCTCCTTCTCCATCACCATGATTGCCTGCATGCCACCATGTACCACCGTGGTGATAATGGACTAAACCTCTCAAACTGTAAGCCACCTCAACTGAATGTTTTCCTTTATAAGAGTTGCCATGGTCATGGTATCTCTTCTCTGCCTGCATGCCACCATGTACCACTGTGGTGATAATGGACTAAACCTCTCAAACTGTAAGCCACCCCAACTGAATGTTTTCCTTTATAAGAGTTGCCATGGTCATGGTATCTCTTCACAGTAATGGGAACCCTAAACTAAGACATGCAGAGACGAATTACTACATCTGTGTTTATAATGCCATCTCATTTTTCTGACTTGGCCATTTATTGACTGAGAAACTGAAAAATGAAATAAGAATTGGGATACTTGTTCAGAATTAGTCAATTACACAACAGGGATAAGAACCTAGTATTCTGCCTCCTACTTGGTGTACTGTTTGTATGCTGCTGCCTCTCACTTGATTGCCAAGTACAAGATGAGAATTATTTGCTACATTTTAATAGAATCTATGAGTAAGTGTACATTGAACATCACTTTTCTTCTAAGAGAAGTGTCCTTTTGGAGAATTTGACTGACTGAACTCTGACTTTTTTGTTGTCATTGACTACATAGCTCTCCTGAAAAACCATTTTAAATCTCTTCCCTTTGACTTAAGTTCATTAAGTTTGGGTCTGGTTAATTTTGGTATGTAATATTTTTATTTATTTGCAAGTTTTTATATAAGAAAGCTCATTAAAATATACTTTAAAAACTATTAAAATTGTCTCTTAGGCCTATTTTGTAGTTATGTTCAGCTTCCTGCCAAACCTTTTCTGTATAGGATATAGGAAAGAGTCAAGAAGTTAACAGTAAAGGCCTAGCTGAAGTTATACTGTATCCAAGAACTGGGTATGCCCTTCAGGTTCTTGTGCAAACCCCAGGCTGATTCCACCAAGATGTCTGATATTTGACTTGCTCCAGGACTACTAAAAGCTTGTCAGCTAATTAACTTTGCCTATAAGAAAAAAATAATCCAAAAGAACTAATAATAGTTTTTCTTTTTATTAGCATATGTTAATTACACTCAACAGTAGGTTTCTTTATGGCATTCTCATACATCTATGATGTATTTTTGTCACATTTCTCCTCAGTTGCCATCTTCTGTTCCTCTCCTGCTGATCACTTCTTCCCATAAAGTCCTTCTGCTTTCTTGTCTTTTTACTTATTTATTTTGATGACCCCATGGGTTTTATTTGGTTCCTTTATAGAGTACTTGATGAGGGAGTATTTATAGACGCATGAGCTTACCAGTGGCCACTAAAGAAAATGTGTCTTTTTCCCTGAGTGAACATTAGTTGCCTTAAGAATAGTGTTTGACAAGTGTGCCTCTCATTTGTCTCTGGTTTTGGTGCAGGGAGTTTTGCATACCTCTGTAGACTCTAAGGTCACTGAAATATGATATACCATTTGTACCAGTATAAACACAATCCTCATGTCATCCTAAGTCAAAGATGACTTAAAGAAGAGCAGGTCTTTTAGATCTGCCCAACATGATCTAATTGATAAGAAACACTGCCTTTAGAGTATAGAAGTTTATGCTGTCAGTGACTGGCTCTGAACACTAACCCTTGTGCTGTGCTGCATAGAGAAGGTTATAGTAGGGAAGTTAAGTAACTTCTGCCTTGTTTCTGCACAACTGTTATTCAACAAAGCCAAGATTTTGTATATCCTATTCTGAATCTGTACTTTCCTGTACTTCTGTTCAATGCTTCATAAAATTAATGCATGTATATCCTTATGTTTCCCTACATTTAATTCCGTATAGTTTAAAATGTATTTTTCCTTAGTGGAGATACTTCAAAAAATGATCATATGGTATTATTTTCCTTAATGAAGACTTTTGGCTAATTACTATTACCCCTTTATATTTTATGTAATTAAAATAGTTTTCACATAATGGTTTTGCTCCTAAAAATCTTAAGTCTCAGAAAGTGAGCCTCAGAAGTGTGGATCTGCTAAAATCTTCATGGGTTTATACAGACAAATCAGGTCTAGAAGCCAGATTTGGGTGTGTGGGCTATTTATTTCTGGCGTGTTTCTACTTATTGCTCTTTTGTTTTGAATGTAGTAGAGTTATATAAATAGTTTTCAGATCTGTAATTCATTTGCAGAAGCTGTTAGCTGATTTGACTTTGACCATCATCATAGATAACAATGTAACTCCAACTAAGGGTTAAGATTTCAATCAAATATCAAAGTTATGAATAACAGCTGTTGAACAGTTGCTAATATGGGATAGTCATAAATTTCACAGGTTTGAGACGTTATTTAACAATTTAAGCATTGCTCAGCTTCAATTTATGCCCCAAATACATAGTTTCAGTGCAAAAATAATTCAACTATTTTAAGAGAAGTCTTTAGAATTATAAAGAATAACCTGGGGGAAATGTGTTGAGATTCTGTGTTTAGTAGCCTGCACATTTAAATTACATTGAAGTTTTAGTTTCAGAGTCTTGTGAGAGAAAAGACTTGCTGTGGTCTTTTTGGTTTTTTCGAGACAGGGTTTCTCTGTGTAGCTTTGGAGCCTATCCTGGCACTTGCTCTGGAGACCAGGCTGGCCTCAAACTCACAGAGATCTGACTGCCTCTGCCTCCCAAGTGCTGGGATTAAAGGCATGCGCCACTGATACCCAGCTGCTGTAGTCTTTTTTATGGTGTTCTGCAGGACCACATGTTACAGGGCTTGGTCTCAAGTTCTTCTTCCCAAGAGATTAGCAGGGACACCACACAGCTTAGCTGATGGTCTTAGTAAATTCACATTGTCCCATATACGCTACAGAATGCCAGGCTACACAATGCCAAGTGAGTGTTGCCTTAGAAGTTGCTTCTACTGAAAAAGCCTTTTCTTTAAATCCCATGTTCCAACTCTTTCATTTTTTTAAAAAAATTTATGGGCTGTGTGTCCTGTTGTGATTTCTTTTTAATTTTAGAGTTTTAAAATATTTTTCTACACTGCCCAACAGCTGTTCTATTTCTTTATCAAAAGTTTGTATAGTTCTCTTCTTAGTTTATTCTGGAAAACAGAAAAGTTTATTTAAATAAGTTGGGTTTGTTCAGATCAAACATTCCTCTGCAGTTTAGTTTAGGAATAGAGTTTAGTTACCTTAGTTAGCTTGTGAGAGCTATTACTCCTCAGTTATGGGTCGGACACTGGAACTGGAATGTGCCCTCAGTGCCCTCATGGCTTTGTGGGAAGGCTTTGAGTTACACATATCAATCCCACTGTGTGTCACCTCATGTCTTCTAGTTTACACCCTATCTAGATTTTTAAGTAAGTCTTCTAAGAACAGGTTCTCTGTTCCTTCTTTGTCACTTTGTTAGTGAGATTTTCTTTAGATATTTTTTTTCTTAGCATTTATTACACTTAACACATCAGACATCTTTTTGTTGTTGTTTACTTCACTGGTCCCTTTAAATGGCATGTGGGAGAAATACTTCATACTTACAGGGAAGGCAATGCATAGTTTCTTTCTCACAGGAAAATTAAGTATATTCTTGACCAGAACTGATTTTCTTTAATTTACACAGTCTACTCATACTTAGTGTCTACTTGCTATCTGCTGTATGAGGAGCAGTGGATGAGACAGAAAGGGTGGAACAGACTGTGGAAAGAGAAATAACAGACAGGGTGTCAGGAAATGAAAACTAGAAAGTCCACTAGGTTTCAGGCATTGCTTCATATGTTAGGTGACAAAAATGATTGTCTTTCCTCTGTGCCTTATTTCTCTTAGCTTGACAAGTATAAAAAAAAAAAACAAACTAAGTATTTCAACTTTTTATATGTGGGTGCATGTGCCCTTCTCTAGCCTGTGACTTTTCAGCTTTGCTTAGTAAATTTAGAATGCAGTTAAAGCCAGCTCTAGTTTTGATAGAAGTACATTTAGATGTAGCGACTCTAAAAGATTTTTGTAAAATTCATAATTTGTTTTTCTTTTTGTCTTTCCTTATTTCCTCTTTTCTTCCTTTTGTCCTTCCAGGTCCGCATGGCTCTAAAAAAGGCTGAAAAAGAGTTTGAAATGAGAAGCAGCTGGTCAGTCCCTGATGCACTTCAGAAATGGCTTCAGCTAACACATGAAGTTGAAGTACAGTACTACAATATTAAGAGACAGAATGCTGAGATGCAGCTAGCCATTGCCAAGGATGAGGTATTATCTTAGTTCATGATTAATCACTTGGAATACAAAATCCTCAGTAAAAGCTCTTCTTGAAGGCTCTGCTTTTAAAGTTAGAGTTTGTCATGTAAATTGAATCTTGTATTTAAAGTAAAATTATTCTCCCTAGAGCATATATAGCTTTCGAAATTACCTTAGTTTCCTTGAGAAATTGTCATTATTATCACTATTGTAAACGTTTTATACGGAGCTTTTCTCCTCTAGGTTGCTGCCTCATGTCTGATGCAGGTTAGTAGTTATTAGAAATTTATGTTTGCTGTTGTTAAATTGTGTGGAATAAGAGTAAGCCCTAATCTGAATTCCAGAACAAATGCATAGTTTACTCACTAACCCTTATTGCAATAGGACTTGGTTAAGTTTTTCTGTTAGTTTTAATAGAAGAGTCTGGTCTTTCTCAGCTATAGAAATAAGAAAAACAGTTCTCTAGAACAAAGCTTTAAATGTCTTGGACTTAGGAAAGCATGCTTTCTTTCTCATCTGTCTTTTTTTTTTATTTTCAAAACATGTCTGTATCTTGGCTAATAATTTTCTACTGATTTTATGATTATTAATATAGTCAAAATAAGAATCAATTTTATTAGTATGTGAGTAATCATTTTCCTAAACCTAGTTTATGTTTTCCCTTTTGGGTTTCCAGGCAGAAAAAATTAAAAAGAAGAGAAGCACAGTCTTTGGGACCCTGCATGTTGCACATAGCTCCTCCCTGGATGAAGTAGACCACAAGATTCTGGAAGCCAAGTGAGAATGATCTTCTACCAGTCTGTCTGTCTACTGTACAGATAATGTGTACTTAATCAGTGAAGCAGACATTGACATAATTTATACTAATTCAGAAACTGGATCATTTCTTCTTGAGATCAGCCATTTCCATGGTCTCTTCCTGTCATTGCCTTCATTTCAGTATCGTATTCAAGACTTCACTGCAATAAGAAATTTTATCTGTTGACTTTTCAGGAAAGCACTCTCTGAGCTGACAACGTGTTTGCGGGAACGGCTTTTTCGCTGGCAGCAGATTGAGAAGATCTGTGGCTTTCAGATAGCTCATAACTCTGGGCTCCCTAGTCTTACCTCCTCGCTCTACTCTGACCACAGCTGGGTGGTGATGCCTAGAGTCTCCATTCCACCCTACCCTATTGCTGGAGGAGTCGATGACTTAGATGAAGACACACCCCCAATAGTGTCACAGTTTCCAGGTAAGTGAGTTCAAAAAGTTCCTAACATCCCCTTTTAGAAAACATGTACTATGAAATCTATGGGGGGAAATGCACTCTTTATTTCTTTTTAATATTTGTTTTACTCTTTGAGAGTACTATATGATATACTCTCATATATGTATTCTTTATATATATTATGTATTCTATTTTAGAAATACACCTTATCAAGAAGTATGAAGAGTTGATTAATTTGCATAATGTAGCACATATTTATATTTCAACAATTGTTATCTATAACTCAATGTAGGATTTTGCTTTTATACCATTAGTTATCATTAAATTGAAATAGGAGAGTCACATTAAAAAGTGACAGATACAGCATTATGGCCACCAGTGGCTATATAAACGAAATGCTGAACTTTGAAGGACAACTACAGTAGAAAGAAAGATTAAGGCAGAGTTTTGGAAGACTGGGTTTGGGTGCCAGCTCTGCTATAGTCATCTCTTGACTCTTTGGTCAGCTTATGATTTGTTCCATTCCCGAATCATTTTTTTTTCCTTTTTAGTATTTCTGTTTTGCCTTTTTTTTTCAGTATGTTCTTTTATTAGTAGTGTTATCCTGCTATTTTTCTGTTTTTATTTTGTGACATACTGAATCAGTTTGCCTTTAACAAAAACCTTGCTTGTTTATAAAATTTAGACATGGTGTGTGTGTGTGTGTGTGTGCATATATATATGCACACATAAAGAGCAAGATGTTTTCTAGTTGTTTTAAGATGAGGATTGCTGTGTGGCTGAGGCTGGCCTCTTGCCTTACCCCTCTTAGTATTAGGATTATACGCGTATGCCAACATACTTCTTTGCTAGAATTGAAGTCCTTCTGAAGGAAGCTTTTTGTGTATATTGTTATTGCTTAGTTGTATGCTTTGTTTTTGGTAAGATAAAACTTGAATGCTTTAACTTTTGACTTTTTGCAGAGTTACAGATGTTTTCAATTTGCATTTTTATATTAGAAATTATTTGAAAAATTCTTTATTCTTATTACTGCTTACCTGGTCCATTTTCCCAATGTTTGTGACTTTTTACAGTGTCAATAGGACACAGCTCAGAATAATGGGAAAGTATATTAGTTTAGTCCTTGGTTAGCTGAAAACTTCAAGTCATCTTACCTGAGTAATTTTTAGTTTTGACTTTTTCTATTCAACTGTTAACAGTTTTACTGAAACTGAACAGTTCTGATTGTGTAAAACAGTTACCAAATCAAGCTTTTAGTTTGCCAGTCAATTGTCAGCCAGTGTGTGACCATGCTTTCTTCATTTTTCTGGCTTTAATTCTACTTATGTCTCCTTAATTGGGCCACAAGGTGGTGATAGTTGAAATTGCATCTGCATTGAAGCTGGCTTGTGATTTGAATTTGTTTATTCTATTTTTTCTATGTGTTCATAACACAGATTCATAAATGTATGCATTTGTTTGAATACCTAACCTTTTAAAAATAGTTTTTCTTTAAAATATGTAATTGTTATAAATCAGAATTGTACTTGAGGATGATTCATTTCAATAATTATAATAATAACAATAATTATAACAGTAATCACCATTATTATTATTGTTATTGTAGTTATTATTATTATTATTATCTGTCTTAGAGCACTTTTGGGAGTTTGGAGGCAGCAAAACTTTGTTGTTGTTTTTGGTTCATTAAAATACTTACTCTAAGTGTGAATAATTGGCATGTTTTAAATAATGTGGTATTATACATAGATATTTATACTTAAGAATATGAAAAAGTACAAGAGCTGGTTTAAATTTAAAAGAATATGAAAAAGTACAAGAGCTGGTTTAAATTTAACAGGAAGGGTTTTTTGTTTGTTTTGTTTTTCCTTTTTATAAATTTAAAATTAGAAACAAGCTTGCTTTACATGTCAATCCCAGTTCCCTCTCCCTCCCCTCCTCCCTCTCCCCTCCTCCCCTGCCCCCCACCAACCCCTATCCCATCCCCTTTCTGCTTCCCAGGGTTCAGAGGGTCTGGAACAGCCCTATGCTGTTTTCCCAGCTATCTGTCTGGGGTCCATGAGCAACCCCTTGTTCAGGTCAGTTGTTTCTGTGGGTTTCTCCATCCTGGTCTTGACCCCTTTGCTCATCACTCCTTCCTCTCTGCAACTGGATTCCAGGAGTTCAACTCAGTGTTTAGCTGTGGGTGTCTGCTTCTGCTTCCATCAGCTACTGGATGAAGGCTCTAGGATGGCATATAAGGTAGTCATAAATCTCATTATCTGAGAAAGGCTTTTAAGATAGCCTCTCGACTATTGCTTAGATTGTTAGTTGGGTTCTACCTTGTAGATCTCCAGACGTTTCCCTAGTGCCTGATTTCTCTTTAAACCTATAATGGCTCCTTCTATTATGGTATCTCTTATCTTGCTCTCCTCTATTCTTCCCCTGACTCCATCTTCCTGCTGTCTCCTGCCCTCCTCTCCCCTCCTCTTTCTTCTAACTCCCTCTCCCCTCCCCCCATGCTCCCAATTAACTCAGGAGATCTTGTCCCTCTCCTTCTCCGGGGACCATGCATGTCTCTCTTAGGGTCCTCCTTGTTTCCTAGCTTCTCTGGCGGTGTGGATTGTAGGCTGCTACTCCTTTGCTCTATGTCTAAAATCCATATATGAGTGAGTACATATCATTGTTGTTTTTTTGTGACTGGTTAACAGGAAGTTTTAAAAATTAATTTGATTGCTCATAGGATTGGAGAGAGCTGTGCCTCCACCTAGTGGCCACACAGTGGTGCGGCATTCTGCTTCTTTACAAGAGCCTAAGTTTTGGAGCTTGTAAAAACAAAGGCTGTTTTAGAATAGTGTCTGAGGTATTTAAATACTTCTTTGGTGGTCTATATTGTGTGTTAGTTATGCTTGAATTAATGGACAGGAAGCATGCTTTTTGTATGTAGAGATCAAAGTAAATGATTCTAATACATGAATAATACTATGTGTAATTCTAAAGAAGAAAATCTTTAGTTTTATTGCGAATAGAAGGAATAGAGAATAGAATTACTTCTCCTTCCCCAGAAGTAAATTTGGAAATTGTGTGGTATTTTTTCTTTATGTTTTTGGGATATTTAATGCAGATATTTAACCTGCTGATTGATCTATCCTAGAGCTCTTAGTTATGGTTTGTTTTCACACTCTTCTTCCTTTCCTCTTCTCTTCTTCCTCCTCTCTCATTGTCATCAGTTATAGTGCTCCAGATAACCTGAACTTTAGCAGCTCTTCAGTTGTGTATTAGTATTCCCTGGTGCTTTGACTGTCACTCCTAACCATCACCTTTGTTACAGTTTTAGTCATTATTTAAATATACTTAGTTATATTAAATGTATTATTTAATCTACTTCTCTGTTTATCATTGTGTCTTTTCTTTCCTCCTTTTTGTTCTTTCTTGGAAGTAAAGCATCGATTAATATTTTTGTTAAGCAAATTAGAAGTGAGAAATTCTGTCTTTGGCAGAAAGTGTCTATTTTCACTTTTACTGGAGAGTAATAGTTGTTGGTGAAAAGTTTGTCCCCAATCAAATTGTTAGAGGTTATATGTAGGTGATCTATGATTTCTGATACTAGAAGAATTGTTGCCAGGTGTTGGTGGCGCACACCTTTATCCCAGCACTCTGGAGGCAGAGGCAGGCGGATTTCTGTGAGTTCGAGGCCAGCCTGGTCTCCAGAGCAAGTGCCAGGATAGGCTCCAAAGCTACACAGAAAAAAAACCTGTCTCGAAAAACCAAACAAAAAAAAAAAAAAAAAAAAAGAATTGTTTCATTTCATTTCTTGTTCTGTGGTTTCATCATAATGTGATTGGCAAGTCAAGACATCAGAATAGACAGGGAGGCCAAGGAGGGGTTATTGATGAGCGGATGGTTTGGCTAGGATAAGAAAAACTGACAGGGAAGAAAGCACTGACATGCAGTCTGAGAATTCGTGTTGTTTAGTAAGTAAGAGCTTCCAAGGTAGCCCATTTTATAAAGGATGCAGGAGTAAGGTATGCTGGCATCTTCTGTCCTGGTGTTGTACACTGAGGAACACAGCAGGTACGAAGAGCCAGCTTGAGCGTGCCTAAGATGGTATTCTTGGGCAGCTTCAGTTGAAGAAGAAACTGAGGATGGATCCATTTGCTCCACATGCCAGGGTGTAGCTTGAGGCAGGGGTAAGCACAGGGAGTTCTAAGACAGAGGCTTAGAGGCTTAGTCTATGAGGATCTGTGTTCAGGAAGCAAGCTTTGGTTTCAGCTGAGACACTGTCGGTACAGTCTTTATTTAAACCCATTTAAAGGTCAAACATGTTGTGGTATGTCAAAGACTTTATACTATTTTTCCTTCTTCAGTGTAGTGTTCATAAAGTTTATCATTCCTTATAAATATGCTAAATTGACTTTAAATTTAAATGCTATTTTGAATAGTGTTTTAAGTCTTTATTTTTAATAGTGTTATGTTTTTTACAGTAAAATTATGTTTATGTACATTTTATTTTAGTTTTACCTATTACCATTATTACTACAGTTGGATTAATTGTTGGTAGTTGTTATAGTTACCTGAATAAACATTAAGTCTGATATTTTACTATATCAGTACTTGCATACATCTTTGTAAGAAGACTGTGTAAGGACAAGGGACATTGGTGGTTCTGAGTGTCTTCATTGCCTTGTGTTTTTCAGGGACTGTACCTAAACCTTCTGGGTCTTTAGCCCGAAGCAGTAGTTTATGCCGCTCTCGCCGCAGCATCGTGCCATCTTCCCCACAGTCTCAGAGAGCTCAGCTTCCTCCACATGCTCCTCTGGCAGCCCACCCTCGGCATCCTCACCACCCCCAGCATCCTCAGCACTCATTACCTTCCCCAGATCCAGACATTCTGTCTGTGTCAAGTTGCCCTGCTCTGTATCGGAACGAAGAGGAGGAGGAGGCCATCTACTTCACTGCTGAAAAACAATGGTATTGGCCATTAATAACTGCAGGGTATGGGCTAAGTGGGTATGCTAGTGGCAGCAGTGCTGCAGTGGATTCTGTGGTTACACAACGAGCTTTCAGAGACTCAGTGGCTTCACATGACACCTATTTATGGACACAGTTCTGTACATCTGAAGTGCAAGTCTGGGCTGACTGGGTTTCCTGCTCAGGGTATCAGAGGCTAAAATCAAGGTGCTGGCTAGGTTGAGTTCTCATGTAGAATCTCTAGTCCCCTTTGAGCCTCAGGTGTTTGTGGCAGAATTCAGTTCTTTGTGGTTATATTGCTGAGGTCTTGTTTCTGTGTCTCTCTCTAAGCATGGGGTCTAGTTGCTTTCAGTTTCTAAAGGCTGCCCACTGTTCATTATCAGGTGACCTAATCTTTACTGCTGGTAGCAGAGACTTTCATCCTATATGTCCTGCTTTTGCCGATCTGCTTGCCTGAATAATAACCTATGAATATCAGTGAGTCTGGGACCTTAGTGTTTGCAGAACCCTTCTTATCATCACTCATGTTTCATCTTTGGACCACTGGGAAACCTGTGAAGTTTTGTGCAGATCTGGGGTGCAGATCTGATCAGTTACATGTAAGAAACAATACTTGTTTTTAATTAGAATGGTAGATGCAACATTAAAGACAAATCAAAGTCTCTCAGTTTAGCATATAAGAAAATTGAGACCTTGAGAAGTTAGATGATTTTCATGAAGTTGATAGCTGATTAACAACAAGACCAGGAGAGGAGAGAGGAGCCATGTCTTCTGAGATTGGTATTCTTTTCACATTAGACCTTTATGAGGCTAGGAAGTAACGTTTCTTATGGAAGCTGGTATGGATAAAATCTTTACGGTTAGCAAGATAGTTCAGTAAGTAAAGGCACTTACTGCCTAGCCTGATGACCTTGGTTTACTTCCCAGGTCCTACATTGTGGATAAAGAGAACCAATTCCTGTAAGCTGTCCTCTGACCTCCACATTTGAGCCATGGGACTTGTACACATACATATAGCATAAATAAATGTACATACACATACACAAACATAAATACACACACATACCATGAGTAAATATAATAAAAAGAACACATTTAAGGAAACCTTCACATATATAGTATGAGTAAAACAAAAATATGTGAGTAAATAAGTTCAGCAATCTAATGTATATCTAAAATATAATATTAATTTGAAATAGTCAGAAGTGTAAATAATATGAAAAATGATAGTCATAAACCATTCACTGTAAGAGGTTGTTTATATACATGAGTTTAGTTCTTGCTGTGTCTTGTATACTTGATACCTTGAGCTCCGAAGGCAAGTAAGACGATCCTGGGCTAGCTCCAGCTGGGAGATTATTATCCTGTGAGTTTTTACTTTGCTGTTCTGTCTTTAGCCCCTGCCCATTTTTTTTCTGGCTTCCTTTGTCCAATTTTGCCTTGACTTTGCCTTTCATTAAGGAATTCCTTAATGGAGTTGTGCTAACTGCATGCAGAAACCAATTAGAAATGGTTCCTGTTCTTTAGGACTTCATTCATTCTTCATTCATTACACATTTATTAACAACGTATTGGGGTTGCCATGCAGGGAATACAATGGTTAATACGACCTCCTTGTTTTAATGGGGTTTTTCTTTTGAAGTTAGTAGAAAATACCATTTTTGCTATTAGGCCATGCTAAAATGATAAACAAAGATAAATAAAAGCAAAGGAAATGCCATTTTATATAGGGTGGTTACGGAAGGCCTCTCTGGGTGGATAGTAGTTACATAAAATCCAGTTAGAGAGCAGAAGGAGGATTCTATTTCAGCAGAGGAAACAGTGGGTGCAGAGCCCTGATGATGTCTGGGGATTGGTGTGCTGAAGGAACAGGTAGGATGCTCTGGAGTAGATGGGGAGGGAGTGTGATTGGAGAGATAGCCAGGGGCCAGATAGATGTGTAGGGCCTTTGGAATCTATCTGTGGGAGCACAGTGGAAAGTCATGAGCAAGTGAGTGACATTTGGTGACTGAGCTTTTGGGATCATTTCAGTGGCTATATAGAGAAGTTGCTGAAACTGAAACACTGGGATAGAAGCAGAGAGGCTAATGAGGAAGTTGTGGAGTCACTTCAGGCAAGTTTGTTGTGGTTCTGCAAGAGAGAAGGTAGTGGTGGTAAAAAGGACCATGGCTTTGATGTTTTAGAGGAGGCTGGTAGTCATGATGGTGACTGTTAGGAACTTTAGTGTTCTGTTTCATTTATCTCGTTTTCTATTATAGTCAAAGTGGGGGAACTTTGTCTTATTTTATAAGAACTTACTGAATGTTCATTTTTGAAAATAGCATTTTATGTTTGCTTTTTATCTCCCATCCTTTCCACTGTACCTTACCAGATTGTCTCTGCCAAACTTGATAGAGCTTTCATTTTAGTGCAGTGTTCATATTTTACTTCCTCATAAAGTTATATTTCATCAAGGTCATAACTAAACAATAAAAATAGTGATTAAATTCAATCTTTCAAACATATAGACAATTCTGTGATTCAGAAAGAAGAAGAGTATTGAAGGAAAGCAAAAGTTATAAGGGTTTCAGAAAACTAAAAATTCAAGCACTTTCATTTCCCTAATAGTTAAAAAAGGTATAACTTTTAAATTGTATGTTTTGATTGTTTTAATTTATCTTAAAAGCTAAACAAGTTTGGGGCCAGGGAAATGCTCAGACAATGCAATGCCTACTAAATGAGAACGAGAAGCTGAGTTTGGATTCCTGGAACTTGTATAAAAGCCAGGTACCACCACACTTGTCTTAACTCCCACAATGGTAGGGATGGGGACAAGCAAATCTCAGCATATTAGCCAGTCAGCCTGTCTGAATTGCTGAGTTCCAGATTTGGTGAGAGACCCTGTCTCAAAAAAAAAAAAAAAAAAAAAAAAAACCCAAAAAACAAAAAAACAAAAAACCATGGATAGCAATCAAGGAAGATACTCAGTATTGATCTGTAGCCTTCACATACATGCACATATGCAGATATCCACAGAAATACGTATGTGTATGTCTCTTTTATACACGTGCACACACATGTACATAAGCATGTACATGGAGATAATAGGCTCCAGTACCAGAAACTTTTCAAATTTTATCTGTGCATATAATTATAGCATATCTCCTTTTATAATTGCATAATGAATGAAAGTTGATTTGACTAGAATGCTTGTTGGTACTCTTAAGAGTATAGATCTTAAGAGCATATAGATCTGAAAGTTTTACCTTCGTCTATCTCATTCAGGGAAATACCAGACACAGCTTCAGAGTGTGACTCCTTAAACTCTTCCATTGGAAGGAAACAGTCTCCTCCTTCAAGCCTTGAGATATACCAAACATTGTCTTCTCGAAAGATATCAAGAGATGAGCTTTCCCTGGAGGATTCTTCCAGGGGGGATTCGCCAGTGACCGCAGATGTCTCCCGGGGCTCACCTGAGTGTGTGGGTCTGACAGAAACCAAGAGTATGATCTTCAGTCCTGCCAGCAAAGTGTACAATGGCATCTTGGAGAAATCCTGTAGCATGAACCAACTTTCTAGTGGCATCCCGGTACCTAAACCTCGACACACATCATGTTCCTCAGCTGGCAGTGACAGCAAGCCAGTTCAGGAAGCTTCAAATGTGTCCAGAATAAGCAGCATCCCACATGACCTTTGTCATAATGGCGAGAAAAGCAAAAAGCCATCAAAAATCAAAAGCCTTTTCAAGAAGAAGTCTAAGTGACTCAATGGCATCTGTGAACTTTATCTCCCACCCTCCACTCCGTTTTTAATTTTAATTTTAGGAATGTAACTCCATTGGGGCTTTCCAGAGTTGATGCCATAGAGGAAATGTCCTTAAGGGCAACTGTCTACTGTCTGCTGATTTAACAGACTACGCCATCAATTTTATCAAGTCTAACATTACTGAAAAGTCATCAAGAAGAGACAGTTTACAGTTATTTCCACCTATTTATTTCTGCATTGATGTTAGTGATGTATACACAGCATTCTGTTGAAAGCCGCTATGGACTTACAAGCTTTAATGGACTGTAAGCCAGCATGGGCTTGCAAAAATTTCTTGTTTACCAGAATATCTTCTTATCTTTCCACAGAGCTGTTTCCATCATGGACTAAATAACTTAAACAAAGTAAAACTAATTGCACTACTGTTTTCCAGACTGGAAAAAAATCTCTGCAAGTAAAACTGTATAGAGTTTATAAAATGACTGTGGATAGGGGACTGTTTTCACTTTTAGATCAAAATGGGTTTTTAAGTAGAAACTAGGGTTTCTAATTGACTTGCTTTCTGGAAATGAAAACCCACACTTTTATTATGGGGCGCTTCTTCAGATGCATTTATTATTATAAAGTTTCAAGTCCTGCTGTAAAGATCATGTTGTTTTGTTTTCCCCAGGGCTTTCACTGTGATTTACTGCACTGCAGGCTGTATGATAAAATACAAATAATGTAAAGAGAGAAGGCTCTTGATTCCTTATACAAGTGGAAGAGTTAAAACTTGATCAAAGGACTTAAAACATTCACATGCTTAAACTGAAGTGGGGGTGGGAAGTCAGGCACTTGTTTACAGACTTTGGGTAAATGCAAAGGATTTATGGTTTGAAAAAATTTGTACTGTGGAAAAGATAATAAATTGGAGACATTATTGTGTGGAGTTGTGCTGATTTTTGTTAATAACACTCCACTGAAAACACTGTTTTCTGAAGAGCTATGTAAGCTGTCCTATTGCTTAATTGCAGTATAAGAAATAGTGATGTTTTGGAACTAACTTGTCAACAAATTTCTTTGTTTTATATTGTTTGTCATATTTTTATGTAGTTTGAAATGTTTAAATGTTCTAATATCAAGATTAACAAATATAAATTTATGGTGCATTTAGATTGTGTTGTATCAGTTTGTAAAATTTGAAATTGTTTAGATGCTAGGCTAGTCTGAGAGCAGTGTCACACAGAACAACAGTTTACTCTTACTCAGCTCTTAGAACTTCAGTCAGAATTATCTGGAAATACAATGAGGATGGGTGAAATCGGATATATGTTAACTAGAATGTTTTTGGCACTGGATAATATAAATAATATCTAACTCAGTGCTGTGTGTGTGGGGACACTGATAGATAAGTGATTGGCTTATAAGGAATGCTTTATTAAGAAGCTGACTTTCATAATCTTCCATGACTTGTGATTATATCCATTGGTCCTGTTGTTCAAGTTGTCAAGGTCTTAAATGGTTTCCACAGAGGCAGATGATTATATGGTTACAGATCAACTCCTAGGAATAGAAGTTGGTTGTCTGAAATGAAGATGCCTTGTTCAGATAAGGTAAGATCTTATGAAAGAGGAGTTTAGAAACAGCTCTGGAGCTCTACAGAAAGGGAAACATTTGTGCATAAAGAATTAGAACATTTTGGAAACTCTCAGAGTGAATGGGGATGCTTCCTTTCTCATGGCTGGGCAAGAGGAGTTCTCTTTGATTATTGCAGCAGAGACAAGAGCTTTTTGGTTTGGTGAATAGAAAAGGTCGAAGCTACTGGAGCATGGAGAATGCTGGTTGAAGGCTTGACCTGCAAGATTGCTGATAGCTAGGGTTGGTAGGACATTTTAGGTCAGAACTAGGTAGAGACTAGGGGAGGTTGGCCTGAGAGTATGTGGGTGGTTTTAGGTGGAGTACATTGTGCATGTCAGATTACATGTTTATAAATATAGTATTTGGAAATTCAACAGAAAAAGAATTGAGTTTTGGAAACCCCAGCATTTCTGTATTATATTGCATCATGCATAAAATGTTGGGCAGTTCAATTCTGTACATTTTACATGCATTTGTCGCCTTACTCTAGCCTTTCAAAATTACTGGGTTTTCCTGGTTCTTCCTTATTGAAAACAGAAAAAGATTCCTGAAAGTATGAAAATGAAAACAACAGCAAGCAGGTCCAATTCTGCTATCTGAACTGCTTTTACTATTTGAGGTGCCTTCTGCTAAATATTTTTTGAAGTAGTTATATACTTTACATAAAAAATCATCTGTGAGTTGGAGGCCAGCCTGGTCTACAGAGCGAGTTCCAGACCAGGCTCTAAAGCAATACAGAGAAACCCTGTCTCGAAAAAACAAACAAACAAAATCATCTTTTACTTTTAGCTCGAGCATTTCTCCAACATTAAAAATTATTTACGAAGAACATTTTAGTGACTATCTAATATTATGGCATTATATGGTTTTACTATAATCTTTTAAAACATTCTGTCATTTAACATTACAATATATAATATTTAAAACACTAATCTCTCATTTAACATTACAATATATAATTAAAACACTAATCTCTCATTTAACATTACAATATATACTATGTAATCATTTAAAACAATCTGTTATTAAACTTTAGACTGCTGCCAAATTTATTAGATGTGGAGTAATAGCATTTAACATTTGTTGAGTACTCTATACCAGGTTCTGTTTTAAACTGTGGTACATATTGATTTAATCTTTATACCAACCTGTAAAATAACATCATCATCATCATCATCATCATCATCATCATTATATCACTGGTTTCTGGATGGCTAGACAGCTCAGAACTTTAGTAGGTGGTTTAGGACATGTGGTAAGTGGTAGAGTGCTGTTCTTAATGTCTAAATAATGTGGTATAGATTCTCATCAATACAGATTTCTTGCAGTGTATTTTAAGGAAGTGTATAACAAAATGTGAAGATAATGTTAATTCACATCTACATACATATGCATATGTTTGTTTGTCTGACATGTACTTTGGGGGTAGCTATTGAGGTTTCTTTGTCCTAGAGCCATTTTCCCATGCTCTCCCTGAGATACTGAGTGTGAGTAGCCTTTTATTTCATTGATTTCTGAATTGCTATTTTGTTAAAGCTTCATTAACTTTATATGAAAAGAATGTGTAGAGAGATTAGACAGTTTTTTTTACTGTTTTCTTAGCCTATTGTTTTTCATGTTAGTGAATTGCTTGTTCGTGTTTTGTTTTTGTTTTCTCATTAACTTCTTCAACATCTAGTGCTTTCTAAATCTTTTTCAATGAGTCCTTCAAACATAGCCATTGTGTTTTGTTTAACAATAAAGCTTGTTTTTTTAACATAGATACATTATTTATTCTTATTTTAAAAGTGAAAGAAAAACTAGGTTTAAATTTTAGTCTTGCTGATCTGCTGTTTAGAATCTTAACTTTGTTTCTATTGTGAGGTGGATTTCCCCCTCAGTGTTACAGGTAAGGAATGTGGGGGCAATGGTGACAGCTTCTTTTCTTCTCTTCTTGCACTTCCTTAATGCATGTTTGGGCATGTGGATACTCCTGTAGGAGGCAGACATTATTAATTAATGTCAGGTATCTTTATCCATTATTCTCTACCTTATTTCTTAAGACAGGCTCTCTCACTAAACCTGAAGTTTATAGATTGAGCTAGTCTGACTGGTTAGTGAGCCCCAAGGATCTGCTGTCTCTGGCTCCCCAGCATTGGGATTAGAGGCTTGCACTGCAGCTCCTGACTTTTTACATGGATGCTGGGAGTCTGAACTCAAACTCATGCTTGCACAGCAAACATTTTACCCAATAAACATCTTCTTAGCCCCTAGTGCCATCTTAATTCCTTCAACTAACATTTGATAGTTTACCTTGTACCACACATTGCAAGAAGTGCCAAACATGTGACACTGATATTACAGGTGCTGTAAAGGAACGGAATATGTAATAGGAGAAGGAGATGAGAGGAAAATCCTCATGTGCTAAAACTACATAGTGACTGTTGAGCTAGAAACTCAAGGAGAGAGTGACTGTGTATTTCATAACTTTAATAAATTAAAGATAATTCAGTAGTGTTCCTTTGTAAAAGACATGGAGAGACTGGCTATGGTGCTACCATAGGACCAAGGGCAAGTTGATTTTTAGCTCTCTCGCTAGTGTGGCTTCTGCAAATGAGCCTACAGTTACTGAATTTCAGCAGGACATTTAACAGCAATGAGGATAAGTTGTCCAAAACACAGCATAGTACTGATTAAAAGCTGTTTCCAGCCATCATGGGCAAGTCTGCTGAAAGACAACATCCTTCAGATATCTGAGTAGGTTCAAGCTGATTGTGAATGAATTAGGGACCAGTGCACTTCAGACCAAGTGTCAGGATTTCACCTTTGTCCTAAGATTGGCCTTTTCTGGAGTTCTCTACAAGTCTTACAAGTTCGCAGGAGCCTCTAGAAGACAATATCCACTGTAGACTCAGATGCAACATTGCAGAGCAGCCTCATTGTAGATACTGATTTCTTGTGTGCCCAAATTGAGGCCAATTCCAAGCATCCTCTTGCTGCTGGATTTGGAAGCACCCTAGTGCATCAGTTTTTTTTTTTTTCTTCTTTTTTCTGTCCTCTTAGCACTGCTTTCATAGTGTCCCATAAATTTGGATATGTGTGTATTATTTTATATTGAATTCTTTTAAGTCTTTCTTTTTTCTTTTTTTAATTTAAATTAGAAACAAACTTGTTTTACATGTCAATCCCAGTTCCCTCTCCCTCCCCCCCGCCCCTGTGCCCCACCCACCTCTACCCCATCCCCTTTCTGCTCCCCAGGGAGGGTGAGGCCTTCCATGGGGGATCTAAAATGTTTGTCATATCTTTTGGGATAGGGCCTAGGCCCTCCTGCGTGTGTCTAGGCTGAGAGAGTATCTCTCTATCTAAAATGGGCTCCCAAAGTCCATTCCTATACTAGGGATAAATACTTATCTACTACCAGAAACCCCATATATTGCCAGGGCCTCCTCACTGACACCCACGTTCAGAGGGTCTGGATCAGTCCTATGCTGGTTTCCCAGCTATCAGTCTGGGGTCTATGAGCTTCCCCTTGTTCAGGTCAGCTGTTTCTGTGGGTTTCACCAGCCTCGTCTTAACCCCTTTGCTCATCACTCCTCCCTCTCTGCAACTGGATACCAGTTCAGCTCAGTGTTTAGCTGTGGGTGTCTGCTTCTGTTTCCATCACTACTGGATGAAGGTTCTAGGATGGCATATAAGGTAGTCATCAGTCTCATTATTGGGTAGGGCATTTAAGGTAGCCTCTCCACTATTGCTTAGATTGTTAGTGTCAGCCTTGTAGATCTCTGGACATTTCCCTAGTGCCAGATTTCTTTAAACCTCTAATGGCTCCCTCTATGATGGTATCTCTTATCTTGCTCTCCTCTATTCTTCCCCCGACTCAACCTTTCCGCTCCCTCATGTCCTCCTCTCCCCTCCTCTTCTCCCCTTCTCTTTCTCCTAGCTCCCTCTCCCCTCCCCCATGCTCCCAATTTGCTCAGGAGATCTTGTCCCTTTCCCCTTCTCTGGGTTTCAGGGTCCTCCTTGTTTCCTAGTTTCTCTGGAGGTGAGGATTGTAGGCTGGTAATCCTTTGCTCTATGTATAAAATCCATATATGAGTGAGTATATAAAGGCCATCTGCATCAGCCCCCAGAAATAAGGAGGCATGTCACTAAGCTAAGGTAAGGCAGGCAGTTTGCCTCTGCCTATAGAAGCTCTGCAGGTAGGTGAAAGCCAGTGAGCTGCAATCAATGCTGGAACTGTTTGATCTCCAATCCTGCAAGTGGCAGCAGGGCTTCTGCTCTTTCTAGGCACTTTCTTCCCTATAAGAGTCAACTCTAGAAGCTGCTACCTGTGTCAAAAACAGTTGATCTTTAATAGAAGTACCTCCAAACTGTCCATGTAGACCTTTTTTCTATGTGTGAGAATGAAGGCTCAAGCATACCAACTTCTGGCCCTGAGGTACCTGCATGTAGGCTGAAAGATTTTTTTTTTTTGTTTAACACTTTCCCATGAAAAAGCTATTGACGTTGAAGATGTATCTCAGTAACCAGAAAGTAGGAGGCATTAAAGAGACTGGAGGGGGAAAGTGAAGCCTTGGTGCAGTGGTGAATTGCTGTGCCAGAGGTTGCCTGTGACCTTTAAAGGTTAGAAAATGAACCTGGATGATGCACTGAGCATTGACCATGGCAAAAGGTGAGAAGGGGAGAGGAAGGGAAAGGTACATGTCACAGCTTGTCCACTTAAACCTGATGTCTCAGTACAATGATGTTTACTTGTTGACCCGATAGACTGAATTACATAAGTTCAGGAACCTGCCTTTTTTTTGCTCTACACTACAAATGATTGACACTTCAGCAGTCAGTGCAGAAAGCAGTGACAAACACTACTGCTGTCTTCAAGTTCCAGATAGTTAAGGGTCTTCATGAATTTAATCATTAGAAAAGAGTTCAAGAATAACCAATATTTATTAACATCGAGACTTGTGCCATGGAATCACCTGTGTATGTTCATGGAGAAACACTGTTAGAGCCAGGCTAATGAGCAATGACTAAGCCTAGTATGAAGAAAAGATAATTTTCTTTTAGGCTGTTTTATGTTTTTATATACCTATGAAAGTTACTTAGTATATTCAGTCTTAGTGTCAATGTCTTCTCCTAAATGTAGCATTTGATGGCTGTACTACATATTTGGTAATTAATGTCACAGTATTACTAGAACTGATTAATTATGTAGTAAGAATACAGTATGCTGGCTGCTGAGCAAACAACATAGTTCTTACCTCTCTTGTTGGGCAGAAATGCCCCAGACAAACTGTGAATGCACAGAGTCACAAACTACTTAAAGTACCTAGATAGGTGTGTGTGTGTGTGTGTGTGTGTGTGTGTGTGTGTGTGTGTAATGTTTTTTATAACTCCCATACATGTAGATGTTGGCATCTTAAACAAAGTGGTGGTAGAACTAATTTCTCAAAGATACTGAGAGTAACTTGAATATGCACTATATATGAAGAAACATTGTTGATACTGGGAATTTTTTAAAAAATGACAAAAAGACTACCTTCTCCCCAGGGATGGCTTACACTGGGCAAGACAATAACTGAAATATGTGATATTTTAGATGACCTAAATACATGCTAAGTTAGTGGTGTTTGAGGTGATGGTTTACAGTTTTAAAGTGAGATGTCAGAAAAGACCTTCATTGAGTCAGAATGCAGACATGAAGAGAGTGAGGCAGAGTCTTGCAAATACCAGGAAAAGAACATTTTTCTGTGTACATACCACATACTAAACAATTAGGTCACTGGAGCATGCTTTGAAAGAGCTTTCTGGCTAGAACAATTAAGAAAAACAGGTAAAAGTTCTGTGTTTTCCTTCATATTCTTAATTTATGTTAGTTTTGTAGACTATCATTTTTTTTTTAAATTTAAACTAGAAACAAGCTTCTTTTATATGTCAATCCCAGTTCCCTCTTCCTCGCCTCCTCCCCTGATCCCACTGACCTCCCTATCCCAACCTCTTTCTGCTTCCCAGGGAGGATGAGCCTTCCTTGGGGGATCTTCAAAGTCTGTCATATCACTTGGAGCAGGGCCTAGACGCTCCCTAGTGTGTCTAGGCTGTGAGAATATTCCTCCATGAGGAGAGGGCTCCCAAAGCTCATTTGTGTACTAGGGGTAAATACTGATCCACTACCAGTGGCCCCGTAGATTGTTCAGACCTCCAAACTGACTTCCTCCTTCAGGGGGTCTGGAACAGGTCTATGCTGGTTTACCAGCTATCAGTCTGGGGGTCCATGAGCAACACCTTTTTCAGGTAGGTCAGCTGTTTCTGTGGGTTTCTCCAGCCTGGCCTTGACCCCTTTGCTCATCACTCTTTCCTCTCTGCAAGTGGATTCCAGAGTTCAGTTCAGTGATTAGCTGTGTCTGCGTCTGCTTCCATCAGCTACTGGATGAAGGCACTAGGATGGCATATAAGGTTTGTGGACTATCATTTTTTACCTCATGTGTTCATGTAGACATTGGTACAGTTTTACTTTTTGCAAAAAATAGCTTGTAGTAGCTTTTGCTGCCCACCTCCCTTTGATTTGGAATACCCAAGGTACTTCAAGGCAACACCTTAATGAATTCACCATGTTCTTTTCTACTCTGCTTCCACCCAAATCCTGTGTCCTCATTCCCTAGGTGTCTGTGTTGTAATCAGGAAAGTGAACTATGGGCTCAGATAACCCTGAGCATGCTCTAACATTTCCTGCCTGTGATA